GCATTTTATACTATTTGTCCTAATAAACGGCGTTTGAAGAGAGAAGATGCTCCTGAGGAAGTCGTAGGACGAAACGCGTTGAGCTCACCAGGGGACCCTGTGATTTGGTATCGGCAACTTTATTACCACATATGCTGGATTTATCTTTTTGTGCAATATTGTGTCTATTTGGACTATCAAGTGCTCACTTTGTTACTTGAATCTTTCTATGGTGCAATACTGTGTGTATACCTGGATGACCATCTTATTGTGCACTTTATTCTCATTTTGCACTTTTTGCACTTTGCACTTTATGTATTTAGTCCAGTATTTATTGTGTTAAGCTGCTATACCTATGGGTCTCTGGCCTATTATAGCCTTTTAATATTTATTCTATTGCACATGGTTGGTGCTATATTGTGGATTTTTTATGTAATAAATTTTTGTCTACTATTTATATTTTCTCCTCTTGATATCATTTTTTCCTTTACCCCTATACAGTATTTATATAGTGATTGTGGCGCCCTGTGTTTTTCTGTTAAGCTTGTTAATGGGACTGAAATGGTGAATGTATGTAGGGCACAACTGAAAAAAATGTTTATTTTGAAGTCCTGTGGGTGTGCTCTTCACTTTAAATATGTTATTGTGCTGGAGTATGCACCTAGCAACAAGACTGAGCCAATATCTGCTCATTACATATGGTACATATTAATGAAATTTCTCTGTGTATTATGCATTTATAAATGTACATTAATATGTGTAAATATAATAGGTAAACCGCGAGGGAGCATGGTACAGAGACATGCTCCTCCTCCATCAGCCACAGCAGTGAGAGGAGCAGGGCCGCCGGACCGGGGAAGCTGCCACCCGGCCCGGCGGCTCCAGCCAGGAACGCGGCCGGCCCCCAGGTGCCGCGGCCCACCGGGAAATTTGGTGAATTCACACGCTGTCCTCTCCAGCGGTATTACCACAAACGGCTAAGATTTCAATCCACATCCATCCTCATCTGTACCGAAGGTTTCTGTTTAGGTCTGACAACATACCACCTGGTAATAATGAGATGAACTTTTCCTGATGTGTATTTTTCAATTTTTAATCTTATTTGCATTTTATACTATTTGTCCTAATAAACTGGCTTATATTTCTAACCAGTTTGAGAACCAGTGCTTGTTATCTAACACTGATTTCAGTGTATAAGAATATTTTAGCCTGCAGTTCCTTATACTGTATTGCTATAATATGATACATGTTTCGATTTGCATCCAACTAGATATTAAGTGTATCATATAGTATCTGGTACAGGTGCCAGACATTCTGCTATATAGCAATAATCGAGTCACTTGTACTGCACATTCCTGTTCTAGATTTACCACATTGTTTCTTTTTCTGCCATTTTTTTCCCTTGTTGCATTTTTATTATTTCTTTTTCATTTCATTATTCATTTTCATTTTTATTATTTTTTATTCTTTTATTCCTTTTTGCACTTTTTTTTATCATTTTTTATTTTTAACTCCTGTATGTTTCATTATTTAGTGAGTATTTTTCTTTTTTCTTTTTCTTTTTATACTTATTTTTCTTTTTATTCTCTATTTCATGATTTTTTAATCCATTCACCTTTTACTATTTCACTATTTTGGGTCCACTTATATTCTTGTTGTTCTGATATATTACATCCTCTTAAAGGTACAGCATCCCTCTTAAAGGTACAATTAGTATTACCCTTTTATAGATGTGCTTTTTTAGCCACATTTTAGGCAAGCTCCTGGTATCCCTAGACACCTTTGGTGTCCTTTTTCTGGTTATTCCTTTATAGGTTTTAGTGGATCCCTATTCGTGCCAGTTTTTGAGCAACCTAATACTAGTCCAACTCCCTCATTTTTGGGCAACACACTATGTGTACCAGTACAAATCAGATTCCAAAGAATGTTCGAAAGTCTGTCCTTTTTGGCAAAAAAAAAATTCCACTCCATTATACAGAAATTTTCTGACAAACCTCCCCCTTCCAAACATCCTCTTTCCTCCTCCATCAGACAACCACATCAACCACAAAGTTACAGAGTTGCTAACTATAAGAATCTTGAACGCACTCTTGAATATCGCTAATGTGGGGGAAAATATACATTCCCTCCTTAGAGCTCTGGTACGGCCACATTGAGGAACTGCGGGAGATAGACGAGATGATCTTGGGTGCAAGGGATAAGCCACAGACATGTATGGATAACTGAACACAATGAAGAAAGTAATAGTTGTGAACAACTAGTCACACACACACACCTCTTAATGGTTCAATAAAAGTAGAATATATTTTACAACATATGAAAATTTCCAATACAGATGGTTATGATTAGGATCAACAGGAATCTAAAAAAGATAAGTGCAAATCCACATAGTGTAAACAGTATACAATAAAAGGAGTACTTAAAATGTTTTATAAACTCACACGTAAAGAGCCATGCCAGGCTCTATATCAACAGCTTTAGGGTGCCAATACTGGCTTTGGGTATTCATCCACAAATCACTTTGAGTACTTCTTAATCATGTTTATTCCAATAAAAAAACTTTGTATAAAATCATACAATGTAAACATATATATTCAGACAATATCCAGCAGTGTGCAAAAGAAACAGCAAGTAAACATATACACTATATTTCCGCAATGGGGAAACGTCTTTTTAAAAATGTAAATGTGTTTGGACTTATAATAAGTCTTCCTCAGTGCAGCATAGGTCCTTATGTCCCATTGATCAATATTAATATGCTCTTTTGATTACTCCAACATATTCACTTGTTAACGCTCTGTTTCGCTGCCTCCTTCTTACGGCATATCTTGGATGTTTATTGAAACACGCAGAGCTAAAAAAGAGCTAGAATAGAAGAACAAGTAACAATATAATGTGTGAACTAGAACTGTAACTCATGTAAAAACAATTATTTGAATACTGTATGTACAAACTAAGCTTTGTTCTACCACTGCTGAACAATAAAACTTGATTTACCAAAGAAAATTTTAAAAAATTGTCAAGTGATACATGCCCCTCTAAACCAAAATAGCAAAACTGGAAAGGTTCTCTTAGTCCGCTGTTCTTCAAGTTTTGCTACTTTGGCCTAAACTTCTCACTAGTGAAACACACTGACTGTCCAAATCAGTGGTTCAGAACATGAGATGCATTGCCCTTGTTTGAATAAGAATCAGACATGATTCGACTTTCAGATGATTTATTTATACAAATTCCTATTGACATTAATGCTTACTTCTGTTGCTAAATCATTTCAAATATTTTTCCAACACAATGGAATTGTTTCTGATTCATATGAATTCAAGCACTGCCAAAGATAAGTTAGAATTAGTAATCAGGATTTTTGTTTGAAAAACTATAAACAAAGGAAAACAGGTAGAAAGAATAAGGATAGTGCAAATTAGACCGGTTAGATGGAACATTAAAACAGTATAACAAGCAGCATTGGAATTTGAATAAGTTAATTTGAAAAAACTGGTCCCCCACAGCCGCTAGAATCGATGCCGTGCCTAGGTCATCAAGATAATGGCAAATGCCTGGTGTCACTACAATAGTTGGATGCTAATGGGGGCAGCCGAGTCTCTGATGCGTGTTTCGCTAGTTCAGCTCATCCCTCTGATGAACACACACACACACTCTATCTCTCTCTCTCTCTCTTAATGTCACCAAAACAATAAATTCACTTGTGGTAGAGATGAGAAAAATAATGTGTCCTTTGACCGATGTACCACATGGATTGTCTTGTGTTAGGGAGCAATATTCACTGAATGAGATATAATTATAATTATTCACTGAATGAGATATCACCTAATTCAAACTGATATTTCTACTCATTCCCTGTTAAAAATCCACCATCATTTCAGTACAATATGATTTTTTAATTATTTTTTTAAATTCTTTATTTTTGCAGTGCATATGATATAACAATGCGCATAGGGTACCCCAACGGCATTCCTCATGCTTTTTTATATACATTTTTAACAGTAAGGGGTATGCTATTGCATGCACAATGTTATGGTTAATATACGGTTTTATAAGATTATTCACGATTTAGTGTCTATTTACTGTAAAGCAGTGACAAAACATTTATAGATCAGGTAAGATAGATAAAACATGGATGGGACTGCTTAGGTATGAACTAAATGTTAAGTTACATGCTAGCCAAGACACTACTGTAGTTGCTTATTTAATTACTGTTCAGTTACATGTTAAGCATATCACAGTTGGTATTGTTTAAATATTAGTTGTCTGGTTACATGCTAAGCAAACAGGAGTAATTATGTAGACCTCTGGGGTCGAGCCAATTGCTTTATGATATTTCAAATAGGAGGAATATATAGCCCGGACCCAGACAAGCCGGCACAGCGATCATAACCTAAGCTCGGTGCCTATACTCACCCGTGGTAAGACTAGCATAAAAAGAAACAGTAGCTGTATTTCTGAGCCAGAGGGGTTTCCTTGAAGCCTGCCTCCGAGTTAATGTTTCACAAAATAATTAGTAAGGCAAAACTTAATAAATTGCAAACAAAAATGCAAACAACGTGTGTAACAATACCAGGAAAGAAAATTCCTTAGAGGTATGACAGGCTTATTACTTCTGGTAGGAGCCAGTCCAGTGAGGGCCAGCGGACAGAGAGACTACTAAGAAAGGATCATCTATATTGGATATATAGGCTATTAAATAATTGCACACAACATTACACTCTCGTAGCCGGTCTGCTGCTTTGTGTAACTCAGGGTTTACCCCTCATGGATCAGTCCCAGAGCCAGTCTCAGCCTATGCCAGCAGGGGATACAACGCAGTCCCAGAGTGAAGAGGTACACTGCCTGTCATCTTGCCACGATGTGATCCGGTAGGTTGGGGCTCGTATCTTGTGTGTATTTCTGCTCAGCCCTTAATGTTGTGGTTCTGATCCTGCTTGTGTGTGCTTGGGTGACTTCTTTGGCTCCATTTTAAGGCTCGACACTGTGCTTCTCCTATTCTGCCACCATGAACTGTCCATCTATCTTAGAGAGAATGTCGCTGGGGGCTTTGTCGGCCCCAGGGATTCCAGGTATACAGTGCTTGAGAGATCTTCTCCCCGATGCAACTTGAGGGTAAGTTGGTGTTTGCAGAGTGTCAGTAGCCTGTGTTGTGTTGTGCTCTCTGCCCTGTTGTGCCTCCAGCCCTTCCTTCCGCTTCGGGCTTGCCCCTGTTCTGGAGCCGCAGTCTTGTGTTGCATCTGGAGGGGTAGGCATCTTGCCTGGGTATCATGGTGGATACTTGTAATTTGCAGTGGCAGGTGTCGAGCCGGCTTGTGCCTGGATGCCACATTGCTTGCTGCAGGCTCGGAGAGAGAGCTTTTCATCCTTCTGGCTTTGGCTCTCATGGCATCCGCCATTTTAATTGAAGCGCCCGGGCCACGTTGCAGGGTGGTAGTGTTGCTTGGCTCGAGTTCTGTCGCAGCGGTCTGAGCCCCAGGGTGAGGACCGGGATCACCCCCACCGGTCCAGAGGCGGGGGGGGTCAGGGCCTGGTCCACACGGTTTTGGGCCTCTGGCTGGGCTCTGTTACACAGGATAGTGGAGCAGCGGCCGCCCGCCCCACTCACCGCCGGAGTAGGCCCCAATCGGGACATCGAAGACCTCTCCTCCAGGGAACTGCAGCTCGAGGTTTGGTAATTTGCAGGAGCTGAGTGTGCATGCGACCATCCAGCTCAGCTGTCTGGTCCCGCCCCCTACAATATGATTTTTAAAACATAAAATTATAAAATAGATATTTCTTATAAGTACTATAATTATCTATTACACAATAAATACTTTTCATTTTTTTATGATCTACGTAGTTAATTGGCATGGTTGGTATTATGCTTTCCAGCTAAATGCAATGTTAGATAAAATGCCTTGTTTGGGTTTGTGGCTTTGGCCTACATACATCTTACATAATAAAATATTCTAATATTGTTTGTGTGGCTTTTGTTTATAAAGATATGGTGAAACATTACCCTCTAGTGGTATGAAGCAGCATCACATTTGCTGTTGATAGAGAACTTTCAACTAGTGTTAAATGCAATTCAAGTATTTCTGGAATAATGAAATCACAAAGATTACGTAAGCCTGATAATAAATAACTAAAAGGATAAAAACAGAAATGTTTCAGGTCTCTGAGCTCTTCAATCTTTTTTACTGCACACATGTAGATTTTTCTGGTTCCTGACACTGAATTCAGTGACTCCCCTATCTAAAAACTTCCAGTGGCCATGAGAAAAGGCACTGTTTACATTACTGCCTAGGGACACCTCTAGTGGCCGTCACTCGGAGGTGCTTCCTGGGTCAGTGTTACACAAAGTGCAGCACAGACGTTCAGCGTCTTCACGCTCTGCATGGAGAAGCTGAACGTTCCTCATAGAGTGGCTTTGATTCAGCAACACGATAGCCTCTGAAAATATTGGATTGGCTGAGATCATGAAGTTTGATGATCTCAAAAAGGGGGCGGAGTCAGCCGCAAGGATACCTTGCGCAGCACTGGAACAAAGTGAGTAAAATCACATTTTATCTTGCTGCCACCTAAACTATAGTGTCAGGAATGCTTGTTTGTATTTCTGACACCACAGTGTTCCTTTAAAATGTCACATGAGGAGGGTGTCACAAGTCTTCTTTGCACCATGTCTAGGACAGCGAACTGGGAATATATCTTTAAACACTCAGTGTAATATATTCATCCCCACCTTGAGGCATCTGCAGCAATTGCCTTGCTAACAAAAGCAGTAGTGCCGTTCAGCGGCCATGCGTCAATGTGTCTGATTCCTACAGAATGTTGGTGGACGCCGGCCACTGCTGATCCACACTAATTTGTAACCCCACATCCAGTGGCGTACACATGACCCATGGGGCCCCGGTGCAAAAATTGATCATTGGGCCCCCCCCCCCCCGCACTTACCCGGCGCGGGTCGGGCCGCAACACATGGCGGCGGGCACCTGGTCGCAGGGCTGCGACCCCGCGACCGCGGTATGCTGCACACACACCTAAAGGACCGCTACAGACACCCAGATCACATCAGCTCAATGAAGTGATCTGGGTGCCAAGTCCCTCTAGTTTTAACCCTGCAGCTGAAAACATAGCTGTTTCAGAGAAACGGCTATGTTTCACTGAGGGTTAATCCAGCCTCTGGTGGCTGTCTCATTGACAGCCGCTAGAGGAGGTTCCGCGATTCTCACTGTTAAAATCACAGTGAGAAGACACTGAACGTACATAGGAAAGCATTGAGTAATGCTTTCCTATGGGTGGTTTAAATGCGCACGCGCGCCTCTTGCCGCGCATGTGCATTCGGAGCTGAGAGGCGGAGGGATCCCCAGCGTCACGGAAGTCCGGCGCTGGAGAAAGGTAGATGCTGAAGACACACACTCTCACGAACAGACGCATACGCACTAGCTAACAGACACACACATTTACTGACAGAGACACACAGAGACATACATACACGCTCACTTACAAAACATACACTTTCACTGACAAACACACACTCACTAACAGACATCAGACACACCCAATAACAGACACACCCAATAACAGACACACCCAATAACAGACACTCTAACACACACACACTAACACACACTAAAACACACACACTAACACACACACACTAACACTAATACACACACACAAACACATGTTTTTTTTAAATTGAATCCCCCCAGCCTCCTTACCTTTTGGAGTGCTGGGGGGATACCCTGGGGTCCAGTGGTGGTGCTGCTGGGCTCTTGAGGCGCCTGGGCGGGTGGGCTGGCTGCCTGGGTGGCCGGCGCGCGAGGGAGCACTTTCCCCTGTGTGCTTCCTCTTCAGCTCCCTCGTGCGCCGCTTAGGGATGCCGGCGCGGGAAGATGCCGCCGGAAGATGACGTCATCTTCCGGCTCCGGTATCAGACAAAATCCCCAATCAGGACAAATCTCATTACTGATGCTGGCACACTGGCTTTGCCACATTATTCTATTCTATAATCCCTAGGGAGGGCAAGAAGCACCTACCAGGGAGTTTCCATAGCAGCCACATTGCATGCATTGTGGTTGCTATGGGAGGAGAGCAGAGGAACCTACTGTGGGAGGACTTTTCTACTGTCCCTTGGCACGCCAGGACATTGACTGACAGCTGGGAGAAAAACATATTTTTAAATAGGTTTTCATCTAATCTTTACATTTGTTAGCAAAACTGCCAGCACAATGTATAGATAAAATCTCATGCTCAATATAACGAACATAAGTTGTTTTGGACACAACCGGTCTACTTTAACCTCCATCTTACAAGAAACATTTTAGCTGCAAATGGCCATTCACCAATGGTATTCTAGATAACCTCATTGTCATCATTTGCTGATTGACTGATGCTGAATGTTTTGGTCCTTACTGGGACCTTTACTATTGCTTCTCTTATATTGCAAACAGCTTACCGATCAATTCATTATATAGGCTCCATGTTGTATTTTCCCCTTTTATGTCATATTAATCATGTTTTCTAAAATGTGGCACTTACAAGAACTTGTGTGAAGAAAAAAATGTAATTTGTCTATTTGTGTAAAACAGAGTTTACCGATTACACTTGTTACTATAAGACTCGGAATGTGAGGAAACATTGATATAACCACCAACTAGTAAATGAAATATGTTTTGCGAATGAAAAGTGATTTGGTAAGATTGACTTTGTGGGTTGTTTAACTACACCCAACTGAAGCACATTCCCCATCATACAGTAATGTGATCATATACTTACCGTGCCAATTTTACCTCAGGGTCCTGCTCAGTGATAAATTACCCTCATTAAATATAAAACAGACTGACAACACTTTCTCTCACGACAATTACTTTTCATTATGGCAATGAATACACGTTATACTCTATCAATAGGATAATCTCACAGAGTTATTCACGAAAGTGTGAATTCATGGTATTTTTACAAATTAGATTTTCATTAAATTAAATCAGTTATGTTTTTTTGTTTGGATATTTACTTAGAATTTCAAACTATTTGCACTTTCATGGGGATTGATTAATCTGCACACTGTAGCAAAAGTAAAAGTCTAAGGGCAACATTTTGACAAAAAAAAGCTGATCAGGTAAAATATTCCAATGTGGCTACAGTCACAGCTTAGCTATTGTTACCAAATTTCTCCTGACTAATTGTCAGGAAATCTTCATTGCAGTTATGCTTTACTGATTAGAGATTTTTATAGGAACACTTAAAACCCCATATCCACTACAGAGAGCTGAAGTGGTTATAGTGATTGCAGTGTTTCTTTAAGGTGAAAGGTCCAACTACTTTTTTTCTATTTTTTTAATTGATTTTTTTTTTTTTGCAATATTATTCATGTAATGATCATCCTGAGTGCAGAAGCCTAAACCGTCACATGTGCCATACATACATCCACATTTCATCAACTCTGCTGCAATTTCTGTCAAAATATGACAAAGTGAGCAATTACATTTAAATTCCTTTTTGAAGGTGTTTGCTTTGTACATGGCTTGGGGACATCTGAGATACAAATCTTGGACACAGTGACAGATGAAAGCCTTGCTGCCATATTATATTCTCCCAATAGATCTAGTCATAATGTCATTTAATGGGTCACGGCAAGTGTTTGTATTAAGGTACACGTCCTTGTCACACTGAAAAGGTTGACATTTCCTTAGGGAAAATCCCAATACATGTATACTATATAAAGAGTTATTATTGTGCATCGCCAACAGGGACATCAAAATAAAGAATTCATTCTTTATTAACTTGATTTTTTTATCTACATTCACTTTTTATCATTTGGCAGCAATTGTTCAAAATAAAGACCCTCCATTTTGCTGCACAATACTTCTGAGCTTTATGTTTTTGTACAGGCTTTAATAACAGTGAATCTGTGAACTGATGGATTGCTACATTTTACATTATAGGATTATAATTACTTAAGTGAGAATTGAAATTGACCACAAAGTGAATTTCTAATTTAAGGCCAGAATAGCAGAACTAAAAGCATAGCTGACTTTTTCAGGTTTGGCTATTTTGACCTTAAATGTAAAATTCACCTTGAAATCTCTGCATGATTGCTATCTGTTTATACAACAGTACATCTGATCCTGTGTGAAGTACAGAACTGCTTTTAGGAATAAACTCAAATACCGAGCCTGCCGGTCAGAATAGATCCCACAGACCAAAAGCAGACTCCCCTGACTGAAGCGTCTGACGCTGTTTACCTGTAGTTGCAGGAAGAATCTCTAAAGGGTGCATCTGCATATTTTTGGGCATTGTTTATGATACAATATCATTATGACTCCCTGTGTTAATGCATTATATTTACCATGTGATTTCCTTTCAATTATCCCTTTTCTCCAGTGATTGTTTTCATTGCTCACACAAATTA